GAATTTCCTTAAACTTATTTGTTACTGTAGCTCACTACTATATTTATCATCTGGTTTGTGATATATTATCTCTACTTAATTGTATACTGATCATACTTCTTAAAAAAATACATATTCGAATATAAATGATTAAAAAATTACATATTCGAATCAATTGGGATGACGACAATGTTGACTAAATTATTGGTCCAATTAGATAGTTAATTGATTTGGAAGTTAGTAGCACTATTATAAAAAGAGAAAAGTATTTTTCGGTATGGATGATTTTCAATTTCTGGTTGGACTTTCCGTTGTAACATTTATACTGCCCCCCCGATTAAATTGGGGGCAAATAATAGAATTAATAGAATATTTTGCCATACTAGAAGATTTAGTAGTAAATGTTGGTCAGACAATTTTTGTTTAATATCGTGATTCAGATAACTTGGTGAATAACGCAATCACATTTACTTTACGTCAACGTGCATCCAGATTTTTTTCAATGTTTCGATAAAATTAAGGCCATCATTTGCTCTTGATGTTTATGAAAATCTGATCATAATAGAATTTTTTATCTCAAGTTCAAAATATTTGGGTGTGTCAATTCAATGCATTTTTTTAACATTGTTCAACAGCAGTCAGAACATATTGTTGTTATATAGTTGTTTGGTTCAATATCAACTCAAGTAGTGTTTTCCTTGAGTATAAGAAGTTGGCATGGTAGATGACCCTCTAATGAAGATTACTAGTTACTTAGAGAAGATCTGCTGGTTGTTTCTCCTTAAGTCGGGCAAAGTGGGATATGCTTCTTGTGCTGATTATTTTTTGTACTGTTTCCATAAGGAGGTCATCATGCAAAATTTTATTAGATACATACCAAGGCGCGCTTGTGATGAGTCTTACAATTTTGAAAAAATTAAAAATTTTCAAAAGGCCTTGATTTTTGTTTTACTGACGCATCCCCAGAGCTCGTCTCCATAGGTCCATATAGGTTTTATGAAAGATTTGTAAATAAGAACTTTGTCCTATTAGCCAATACAATGACCTGACTTTGCTTCGCAGCTCTTTTATTTTTTGGTTTATATGTTGTATCCAGTTTAGTTTTTGGTCCAAATAAATACCGAGACCTCGAGTATAGCCTTGTTATTCATGCTGACACGAGGCTATGCAAATTTACTATTATAATATTGACGCTTATAAAGACAATTGTACATTGGTTTTAGTTGTTGCAAAAATATGCATATACTTTTATTAGAGTTTATTTGTTGCATCCTTATTATTCTGATAATGGCAAAGAATATTCTAAAAGATGTTTCACGTGAATTTCAACGCATTCCAAAAAATTCTAAATTTTACTACGCGTGTCTAATTAAGAAAGAATCTATTCGTATATTTGCATACATTATTAATGAAGTAACAATCATTTGGCAAACTTTAACTTGTTTTACGTGTTTTCACTTGGTTTTAGGTTTTCTTCATTGACTTCATTGAACTTTAAATGTTACTCATTTCTTTTATATATAACTCAGCTTATATGCCTGATGACGTCATAACAATAACTAACAAAACGCATTTGTGTCGTCATAAGAACATTTATATTAAGTTTAAGCTTTATCAATATAAATTCTTCATGAATCTATAGAGATAGGACTAATATGGTAATTTTACCAAGAAAATATCTTTCATATATACCGTAACGTTTAATTTCAAAACTAATTGCGTAAAATTTTGAATTTTTCATGAACCTCTATAGATCATGAAAGTCATGACGACCAAATTATAGATATAAATAAACATAAACCAAAACCGTATCAATCCATAAAAATGACGATGAAAGGCTAAGTTAGACATCTATTTTTATCATAATTTTTGATTGGCTTGAGTTTAAAGTTCTTGTTCTATATGTTTCCATAATGTGGATAAGGAGTAGACATTGCCCTATTGTCTTTTTCTAAATCTTACCATTGGTGTGGAATGAGAATGGAGATTTATCTCCTATCCTTGACCATCACTGGTTTGAATTGACACTGGGACTTGTTTTCTCCATATCCATATTCTGGAAGAAGAATGGACTTTCCTTTTGATTGATGTGGATGTTGTCCTTGTGTAACATCAATTGATCTACAACTAGAGGAAATTAGACGAAAAAAATTGTCATTTTTGATGATTATCGTGGTTTTGGTTTATACGTTATTTATATTTTTGTTGCTTGTTAAAATTAATTCACTAATTTTTTGATAATTTAAGAAATTTTGGACCACACATCTGCTTTTAATTCTGGTCGTCGTTCAATTGACCCGATATTCAACATTTTTTATTTAATCGGGACTAAAATAGAAAAAATAATATATTTTAAATTAAAATAACTTCCTTAGCTACAGTCATGTGATAACTAATGGAAATTCTATTACACCATTGCTTTATTCTTTACCAATTTTCTTGATTAGTAGTTCTTGATTTTGTTCTTCATATGAAGAGTAGGTCATAAATTATTTGATGTTATTAAAAATATTAGGTAAACACTAAAATAAATAGATACGTATTTAGACAACTATTTATTTAAATATGAACTTCTACTTTAAAAGCAATATCAAAATGTCTACAAATGCCGTGGTTATAGCATTCTTTTTACGATTACGTAACTTTGGAAACTTTGGAAACACATTTTAACATATTTTTGTTTTATGCATGCAGAAGATATCTCCACTAAGATAACTTTTCTAGTGACAGGTGTGGATCCCTGAGTTTCCAAGCAATATTTTCTGTTTGGACAATTATATAATCGTTGATTGTTGAATGTCTGGCAAAACTTGGAAACCTTTGAAACACATTTTAGCATATTTTTGAAAGATTGTTGGCATTTGTTCTGAAGTCATAGCTTTGAGTTTTAATATGTTTTTTGTTCAATACATGCAGAAGTTATCTCCTACTAAGACAACTTTTCTGGTGACAAATGTTGAATGTTGAATGTCTGGCAAAAAGCTCCGTCTTTTTGGAACAATGTATCGTGATTATAGCCGACAAAGTTAATATTTAAACTAAAATTGTCTTTTTACATTATACTGAAAATGTTCCGGTTGGGTCAATTGACAACATCAGAGTGGCATAAAAGTTCGTGGTCTGCAAATCATTAATTAACCCATTAAACGCATTTTATTGCATGGATTTCTTCAGTTATTTGAAGAAATCACACATAATCCTATTATGACTTTTAAATCATACTTTAAAATCGATGTCATTTTCTAAATCTATCAATGACCTCATCGTCATAAAACGACTGATAAACGTTAATTTTATGGCGGATCATCAATATCAGTCTGAAAAGCCAATTAGTTCCGTTATAATAATTAATATAAGACATATAATATTATTATATATCAATAATTCGGAAGTTTTATTTCTGTGTTTGTTTCTTTTTTCTGTTGTGTATTAATTATGTACATATTGTATTTATCAGAATCTCACTTTGATGATAAATGAAAGTTTAAATTAAATAATTGTTTAGTAAATAAATATGTCCAAATATTCCTAATGTTTAGCGTTTTATTTATGTTTGTTTTCGTATTTGTTACTTTTCAGATGCTGTGATGATTTGATAATGGATATGTTATAATATGTAATATTTTGGATTATCACAACATCAAAAGAGTTAAGATTAATTGATAAGGAATTTCCAAATTATGATTGGATGTTTCCTGAATTTCTTAATATTTTGGAAACTGTACTGTAGTATTTAATATAATTATGGTAGAAAAATCTAAAAAAATGTTTATTTTGATGTTGCGGGATAGGCTTATCTTATCCATTGCTCAGTGGTAAGAGCTGTGAAGGTATGAGCTTTTAAGAGATGGGCAGCTTGCAAACAAACAAAGCCGTAGAAATATTTGTTTTTATTTGAAATAGATCTAAATAAAAAAGCCACATGGTTAAGAATATTGTCATAAATGCTCATGGAACTTGCTCAGAAGTTATGATTGCTGTTCAAAAAACTGTGGAATACGTATCAAAATCCAACATGGGTATCAAAATTAACAATCTTAGCTCTGAAGTGCACTGGTCAGTGGTAAGAGCTCTGAAGGTATGATATATTAAGAGATATTGGGCAGCTTGCAAATAAAGCAGTAGAAATATTTGTTTTTACTTAAAATAGATCTAAATAAAAAAGTCACGTGGTTAAGAATATTATCATAAAAGCTTATGGAACTCGCTCACAATGATTGATGTTCAAAAACATGTTGTGGAATAAACTTGGAAGTTTCAAGAAACTTGATAATACAGAATTTTTTATATTACTTAAAAGAACCAACATTTTTTGTTGATTAGTAAAACAGTTTATTCGAGTACAGTTTCAAGAAATGCACATTCGATAAATAGATAAAAATTGAGACGCTTTTATTTTAAAAACAATTCTAAAATTTCACTGACAAAATTCTTGGTTTCAAATCAGTGAAATTTCTCATTACCAAAAAAATGATAACTTAGTCATTTTTGACTGCGTTTTAATTATTCATTTTTGGTTTTTCTATGTAAACAAATTTGTCGCTGATAATACAAATCCAACGTTTTTTGAATGGCTCAAATTTACGAACTAATTTATTCATTTTTGTTATATCATCGGGATGTCCTTAAATTATTATTATTAATAATAATTAATATATATAATATAGCCAAATATTATTTTTCCTTTGGATCACATTGCCATTGCAATTGTCCGCTCTTGGTTTCAGCAGCCAAGAAAGAAATAACGATTTTTTAAAACTTTTATAGTTTTTTATTTTTCCGAAGGAGAAGTCCATGTTTTAGTCAGATATCTGACTTTTAAATTCTCAAAGTTAAGGCAGATATTAATAACATCCATATCAAATCTAAAAATATTCTTAAAAAAAAGACAAATTATTCTTCGTTAAAGGTTATAGATTCCAAAACGGCACCAATAGTCAAAAATAATTTATTCGTTTTTTATACATATACCAACATTGATAATAAATATATACACAATAAATATTATACATTAAAAAAAATTAGGAGCCTTGCCGTTTTGTCTTCTCTTCGCTCTCGTTTTCTTGTTCCCGGACCAAATTCCAATAGTGTCCTTTGGCCTTTTTCAGACTCTTGTGGTTGCCCATCTAATATTAAACAAATATAAATAATTTCCATTTTAGGGCATTATATTTCTGATGATATCAACTAATTATATTAAATCATCAGTAAAATAAAATAGTTTGCAATATTACGAAACCGAGGATGCACTACTTCGTGGAAACTCAATTGAAGATAAATAGACATTCATTGACGCAAACCCGCGATTTTCGAATAAGTGAGAAATTGAGTTTGTCAAATTTAACTATATATAACCACTTGCACCGGTTTCTTAGAAGCATTACTTCACATCCGAACCTACCTCTACGATTTTTCCATGTTTCATGACCACTATGATGTCGGCATTTCTGATAGTTGATAAACGATGAGCTATGACTACAACAGTTCTGCCTTTGGTGGCATTGTCAAGGGCTCTCTGCACGAGGGCTTCACTTTGGGTGTCTAGGGCACTGAAAATATTTTTTTGCATAAATTACCAGTCTAGAAAATGAGAAATCGCAATTGAAGAATGGCCATAAGATAAATGGTCATTTTCATAGATAAAATCGTAGATGATTTTCTATAAAAGCTCATATAAAGATAGTAAAGATTAGAAATTCTGTTCTCATTCTTCAGTGTTTGTAACCTATGATACTTCCTTCGTCTGGTTGAATACTTAATTCTGTCATTTACCTTGTGGCTTCGTCCAGCACTAATATTTTGGGATTCTTAAGCAGAGCCCTAGCAATGGCGATCCTTTGTTTTTGGCCACCAGACAAAGCAGCTCCTCTTTCACCAACTAAGGTTCGGTAACCATTCGTGAATCCTAATATGAATTCGTGGGCATTCGCTTGCATAGCTGCTTCGATTACCTTTGGATAGAATGATTTGTACAATAAATTACTTCAGTTATTAATAATTGTCTTGATATTTTAAATCTATTGGTCAACAATTGAGGTGCCAGGCGATAATCGGTCAAGGAACCAGATCAGAAACGGGCAAAAGTAAATTTAAAATTCTACTGCTTAAGGGGCCGTTCAAGTATTACGTAAGCACTATAGGGTGGCGGGGGGGGGGTTGTTGATTTGCTTATTTTAGGTTGACATGGGGTCCAGGGGAGTCTGGATGATGATTACGTCATAGGTAGTATTTTTATTTTTTTACATTAATTGCAAAATGTTTACGTAAGCATGGGGGTAGGGGGTAAGAGCTTTGCTTACTTTTGCTGACAAGGGGGATGGGGGGGGTAGATAATTGTAATAAATTTGCTTACGTAATACTAGAACGATCTCTAACCCTTTCCCGTGCCATTTAGCTCGTCGAAACTTGCACCCCCTGGCTCGTCATATTCATTTTTGGGTAAAAATTTTCATCACGAGCCAGATTTTTTAAAGCATGGGAAGTGGTTATCATGATATAGGTATATATTGCATATAGTATATATTACAAATTAATTTTTACCTGTTCATCCGAAGCTGTAGGTTTTCCATATCGTATATTTTCCATCACTGTGGTAGCGAATAGAGTTGGATTTTGCTCTATCAAGCCGACGCTGGTTCCACGAAGCCATGTTGGACATAATTCTGAAATGGTAAGTGAAATCATGTTTAATAAATAAAAAATCATGTGCCTGTTTGGAATCTATATTATAAATGTAAATATTTTATGCCAGATCGAAAAACTATTTCTAACTATCTTCGCCAAAAAAAGTTTGTTTTCGTCCAACCATCAAATTTAGGTCTGCGTCAACGGTGATCAGAGAATTAACGTAATCCCGATTATGTCTTCATTAGTTTTAAGAATTTTAAAAACTTTTGATAAAATTCACTCACATTGACTAACTGTAACAAGTAATTAACCGTTGTTGATTGTTCAAAAGCGTCGGATCTTGTTCAAAGCTCAAAGTCTAAAAATAACTGTTAGCATTTTTTTTAAAATATTTCAAACTTTCAATAGTCATCGCTATGATTCATTATTGTTTGCCGAATTTATATTATAATCGGTTCAATATTTATTACAATTTTTATAGTTCAAAAATTCTTCAGCAGCCAATGGCTGTCGTTAGATAACTTCATTAAGTTAAATAATCGGTTCTTGTGGGGTGCATGGCATCGTGCCTCAAGACCAATGAAACGGGAATGGAACTTCCCGTACGGTAATTAAAAATCTTGCTACGGAACCCATAAAAATTTAGACAAAATGTGTACACATTATTATAATCTCTATAAAATAACTGATAATTTGATGTACATATGTCCAATAAACATTGTTGACCGCCAAATGACATTTTTTTATTGGGAGTCCATAATTGCTCGACCTGCCTTCCCAAAAATTTAATCAGTGCTTCATCTTGTCAATACAAGTAAAATGTTTTTGAATTATTAAAATCGGACGCTTCGTTCTCTTAAAAACTGAGTTACCATTTTTGGCACTTTTTGCCCCGTATCTTCGGAACGGCTAGACCTGCCTTCGCCAAAAACTAATCAGCACTCTCCTTATAATACGAATCGAATGTTTTTTGAATTATTCAAATCGGTTGATCGGTGTTCCCGAAATCGTCGACGAAAATTTGTATCCGCACACACATACACATAAACACACACATCCATTTTTTCTAAGGTATGCCAAAATGTTCAGAAATTTTCATTTTCGATTTTTTGCGATAGTTAAAAATGCCATTTGGCGGTCAAAAATGATCATTAGACATATACGCATCAAATTATCAAATATTTTATAGAGATTTTAATAATAAGTATAATTTTGTTTACATTCCAATGTTTATTCGTTAGACGGCGACGCGGCGCTTTCGCGTTTTCGTCTCTATGCAGTTGAAGCAGTACGATTGTTTTGAAAAAAAAAGTTCAGAATTTCCAAAATATTTCAAAATAAAGAAAACATTTTTCTCAGAATGTCTTTTTTTTTTTGCAAAAAATGTAAATTTTTGTTAAAAATTTATAGTTTCTCAAAAATCTAATATTTTCAAAGTAAAATGTTTTCAAAAAGCCTTTTTTTGAAATCTAATTTTTCAAAGTAACTTTTTTTCAAAAATGTTAATCTTTTTTAAAAAAAAAAATTAAGCCATTTGCCTTAAGGCACGATGCCATGCGCCCCACTAATTTTATATATCAATAAGAATTTTGGCTCATATAGAGTAAGTTAATAGATTTAGCTGTTTTTAGTATAATTAATTAATTACGTTTATAATCATCTTTTAAATTGCTCACCTTTCAAATCATATCCATCGATGGATATTGAACCAGTTTTAGGCTCATAAAATCGTTCTATGAGATTGGCTACCGTTGATTTTCCACTTCCAGAAACTCCAACAAGTGCAACTGTCTTTCCGGCAGGAATGTCTAAACTAAAATCTTTGAGAACAGTCTGAGGAAAAATATATTTAATAATTAACATATTTAAATAAATAATATATGGTCCTTAAATAATGCTATTAAGCTGAGTTAATCATCAAAGTGTACAGTAATTTTCAGTGTGATTTTCATAATATTAAATTAAAATAGATGAAAAGTACACTTACATTCCCAGATCTTGTAGGATATGCGAATGATACCCTACAAAATTTAATATTTCCATTGAATTCATTTGGTGGAATCTCCATTCCGCCTTTCAGTGGAACTTTTGGCTCGATGCCGATGTACTGAAAGAAAATATCATTATAAACATGCATATAAAAAATTTCTACTTTAAATTCAGTTTTACTGTGAATATAAGAGAAAATGCACTTTTATAATTTATGCCTTATTTATCTAGAATCAATTGATGCAAATAAATTCAAATTCTCCAAGAATTATTATTATTCAGGCAAATAATATTAAACATCTTATTAGTGCTTTAACAAAAAAAATTAAAATAATTCGTTTTGCATTGTCAGGCAGTACATTTGATTACTAAAATTTTTTAAATTGTTTTTTTTTTTCTTAAATTTCAGAAAAGATTTTTTTAATATCGAAAATAATTGCGATTTCAATTGTAATTCTAGCTAAGGTTCTAAAGAGACGCACTCATGTACTTTAAAGAAATAATTTTAACTTTGCGATTCAGTTTATCTAATTCTTATAAATATTAGACTTCATTTTGAAACCGATTGATTGAGTTTTATTTATTTACTTTTTATATAAACACATTTAAAGGCCGTCCTCCAATTCCAACGCTCCTATCTATAAAATACGAATATGAATGAAAGTTACAGTATTTATTACTCGAATATTTCATTAAGGTACGGGAAGTTCCAGCAATTTGCCTTAAGGCACGATGCCATGCACCACTAGTTTTATTTGGCATTAGTTCTTATCAATGCCGCTTGTTTAATATCTTTTAGGTTAATGTAAAAAATAGGGTTGAAAATGGGTGGTCCCTTTTTTGCATAATTTCAAATATATTAGGGTATCCATTAATCACGTGAGGTTTTTAGGGGGAGGGGGGGTTTGACAAAAAATCAAGAAATATCACATAGGGGAGGAGGGGTATAGTAAGATATTATGTGTATTTATTTTTTAACTGATTTCTTTAAAAAAAATCAAACATTTAAAAAAAAAATCAAAAAATTTACAGTTTTATCACGTAACTAAAAATATACGTGATGTTTGGTGGAGGGGGGAGAAGTAATTTTGAATATCACCAAGGGAGGGGGTCCAAAAATCCTTAAAAACCCGCACACGTGATTAATGGACGTCCCCTAATAGATCCGATAAATTATATCTAATTCAAATTATTTAAATGACTGATATACATATTAATAAATCCGATAGCTTTGATGATAATTATCTAACATCAACAGTTTATATTAAACCTTTCTACTCGCGAATTGCGGCTGCATGTGAGTGGAAAGGGTTAAAGTATAATGTTTTTCGTTTTTTTCTAAAAATTGCTATTTTTAGCCATTTTTCTCAATTTTCACACCTCTCTTCTTCTTTTTTCTCTTCTTTTCATGATCAAATACTCTTTTATCCTCTTTTCTGACATACTGCCCTTCAACACTTTCCAAAATACTCTCAAAATTTATTTCTCCACGATCATGCAATTGGTGCAATACCTCCATAACTCGGGCACCCGCACTCATTCCTCGGACCACGGAACCCAACAGCATAGAACCCTGGGCCAATGATTTCTGGACGTTCTGAGAGGCAACCAGGAATGCCATCAACTCACCAGCTGTGAGCTGATCGGTGGCTAAAAGAGATCCGCCTGCGTAGAGGGTACCTAGCACCAAACTGTAAGTGAAATAAAATAGATGTAATTTGATTTTCAAGTTTTTCGCAAAACAACTATAAATAATAACAACTATGAACTCAGAGGAAGCGCGAAAGGAACTTATGGTCTCTTAAACGGAAATGCGGTGTAGGAGTACCGCGTTATAAAGAAGCTGACGTAATTACAGCTCCGGGTAGTATAAGTACCATTACCAGAGACCCGCGAATTGCAGAGTTGACTGTTTAAATATTTACATTAACAAATAAATACACCATACAAGCATAGTTTAATTTTTTTAAGTTATTTTATAAAATGTTTTTATAAAATGATTATAAGGTACAAAGAATCGCTTGTGTGGTGTACGTATTTGTTAATGTAAATATTTAAACAGTCAACTCTCCTATAACGCGGTACGCTGGATATGGAACTCATACTACCCGGAGCTGTAATTACGTCAGTTTTTTTATAACGCGGTACTCCTATAGTGCATTTACGTTTAGAGACCATAAGTTCCTTTCGCGCTACCTATGAAAACATAGTCACGTGAATGACTAGTAACTAGTATTTTTTGTTGAAGAATAGTTTTTTAATTACCTTCCCGTAGGGTTTGTTATTGTAATGGACCAAAAATCGAAAATGAAAGTTTTTACATATTTTTAACTTCCCGTAGGGTAGTTATAGTACTGGGCCGAAAATCGAAAATGAAAATTTTTGCATTTCTCGACGTTTCGAAGGTTGCTGAACATTTTGGCATACCTCAGAAAAAATGGATGTGTGTGTATGTGTTTTGTATGTCCGCATTTTTTCGTCCACGTTTTCAGACGCACTGATCAACCGATTTGAATGGTTCAAAAAACATTCGATTCCTATTGATAGGGAGATGTGCTGATTAGTTTTTGGCAAAGGCAGGTGCAGCAGTTGCGGAGATTAAGAGCAAAGAGTGCAAAAAATAGAAATCGAGTTTTTGAGAATCCGGTTTGAATGATCTGAAAACATTCAATTAGTAATGATTGGGAGAAGTGGTTATTAGTTTTTGGCAAAGGCAGGCCTAGCCATTTCGAAGATACAGAGCTAAATGTGCAAAAATGGTAGTTTTTGAGAGAATTAAGCGTTCGATTTGAATGATTCAAAGAACTTTCTGCTTGTTTTAACAAAATAATTGCTTTTGAAAAAAAAGTTTTGTTTCAATTTTTTTTTCAAAAAAATTTTTTTTGTGTAGCGAATAATTCAGATTTTATTTTTAATTCTGACTAAAGTTCTATAATAATTTCAACTTTGCAATTCAATTTATATAATTCTTATAAATATTAGACAATGTTACAATATTTATAATAATCTATTTGAAAACATTCAATATTCCTCGAACTTTTCGTTACGGTACGGGAAGTTCCAGCAATTTGCCTTGAGGCACGATGCCATACATCCTACTAGTTTAGATTTTGACATACTTTAAAAAATATAAATGTGTTTGTGTGAGAGTGTATTATGTATAAATACAATATTTCGTTTACAATTTCTGGCGTGCGGATCAACCCATTTGAATGACTCAAAAAGCAATCGATTCCTATTGATTGGGAGACGTGCTGATTATTTTTTAGCAAAGTCCAGCCTAAAGAGAAAGAGCATCCGAGTTCAATGATTCAAAAAGTATTCAATTTGTAATAATGGGGAAACTTGGTGATTAGTTTTTGTCAATGCCTGGTTCAATCATTTCTAAAATACGGAACTAAAAGTGGCAGGTCTTGAGACAAGCATCCGATTCTAATGATTCATAAACATTTTGCTTGTGTTGACAGTGTGAAGAAACGATCAGTTTTCAGAAAATCAATTTTTTTATTTAAACAAATTAAAAAGAAATCTTCAATTTCTGAATTTTTTTTTAATATCAAAAATGATTCGGATTTTAATTTTAATTCCAACTAATCTATTAAAGCTCACTTATATACTTGAAATAAATAAATTTTAAATTTGCAATTCCGTTTATATAATTCTCATAAATATTAGATAACGTCTTCCATTTTAATGGCTGTTGATTAAGTTTTGTTTATTAATTTTGTGTATAAACATATATAAATATATATAAATGTCGCGTCTAATATATAAACTCTTATATTTTGTCTATATAATACGAATACTGAATGTTACAATATTTATAATAATCTATTTGAATACATTTGAAATTCCTCGAATATTTGTGCGGAAAGGTGCGGGTAGGTCCAGCAATTTGCCTTAAGGCATGATGCCATGCACTGCTACTCCTAGTCTAAGAATTACTTATATGGGATTACTAAAGGGTCGTCGGTGTACCGGTAAGTTATATTTTGCTATATTTAATATATGTGTTATTTTTTTATATTATTTTTTGTTCAGAAGATTCCGAACAAATCTTAAATAAAGAATCAAATAGAAAATATCTAGTATTAGTTAGTTCGTGGATGTATTGATTTGAGTATAACCATACGATCCATAGATGGCGCAAATGTGCTACATAACAAAAGCGCTTACGCTAAAGTTCACCATTGATGGGGATAAAATAAATCCGACTTGTCTGTTCGTCACTCTGGTTTCCCTTCAGAGCGAATAAATCTTTCGCCTTTTACTAAAGATTTCCGTGGAGGGGAGCACTCAAATGAGTATATAACTCAATTTTTTGTGTGCCCGGCATTTATTTGCTGGGCCAATAATCGATTTAGAAATTATTCTTTATAATAAAACAAACACATATATATTGTTATTATATATGTTAATGTTAATAATAATATATTGTTATAATAAATTAGTGGTACATGCATGTAATCGTTCTTTAAGGAAAGTTTTCCGACCGTAATTACGAGGAATGAAATAATCAATAATTATTTTAAATAATTTCAAATAGATTATTTTGGAATTTGGAAACTTTTGAAAATTTTGGAACATTGACAATTTTTTGTTAGAAATCGAAAATTTAGATTTTTTTTTGAAAATGCTGAATAATTTCGAAAATTTGAATCTTGAATTTTTTTTGAAAATCTGGAATTTTTTTTGAAAATTTGTAAAATTACGAAATTTTTTGCATACCATCCACACAAACAAAAGGTTTATTTAATTGATCTAATCGGATGATCCGTTCTACCAAAAACTGCATGACCATTTTTACCCCATTTGCGCTCCATACCTCCGAAACGACTAGACGTGCTTTTTGCAAAAACGCCTTACGATCGAGTATGAACCGAATATTTTTTCAATCATACAAATCGGTTATTCCATACTGTCGAAAATGTCGAGGACATTTGTTTGAACCATATGAATGAACTTTAAAATTAAAAAATTGGTACGGAACCCAAAAAATTGACACAAAATATGAACACATTATTAAAATCTCTATAACATATCTGAAAATTTGATGTGCATTTGTCTAATGAACATTTTGACCGCCAAATGGTGTTTTTTAAACTTTTGTTTATTGAGAGTCCATAACCGCTGGACCTGCCTTTTCAAAAATGTAGAGAGTTCTTCGTTTAGTCAATACAAATAAAATGTTTTTTTGAATTATTGCAATCAAAGTATTCGGACGCTCCGTTCTCTCAAAAACTGAATTACGATTTTTGTCTCCTTTTGCCCCGTATCTTCGAAACGGCTAGACCTATGTATGTGTTTGTTTACAAGTTTTTGGTACATCGGAAATTAATTCTTCAAAATTTTGAGAAAAGCAAATTCAACAAATAAAACGTTCTATGACCATTTGTTGAGTTGTTTTTTAAACTCTGCGAAATTAGATTATGAACCCAATATAGATCGTTGAAAATTATAACATAAAAAATTTGCAGAGTAAGTGGTATAAAGAAATAAAAGAATAAAATTATTTAAAATATTATTAGTAAAGAATATGAGAAATAGTAATGATTCAGGCATCAGCGATCCTACAACGTCTTTGTAACAATAGAAGAGATCACCGATAATCACATATATTAACCAATTTTCATTTTTTATTTGATGAATACCGACGAGACTACCAAAAAATCGATTAAAATTGTATATGTTTTATCTTACCCGTTGAGGAAAAGGTTAGTGGCAGCTTGAAACATGGCAATGCCCACTCCTAAATCTTCATTCAAGGTTTGAGCTCTTTCGGCTTCCCATAAAAATAAATCCGACTCTGTATCTTCCATCGCGAATGCGCGTACAGTTCTTATGTTTGAAATTGCTTCGTCTAGAACTCCGGTAGCTCTTTCCATCTAAAAAATTGAATATTGGATGTTAAATATGTAAAAAACAAAGTAAAGTGGGCAAACAAGATGACAAATGAGTAAGTACTGAAGACAGTTGGAGAAGAACGAATTGTACTGAGCACGATCATGAAAATGAAAGGAAACTTAATCGGAACCATATGGAAAATAGAGTACCTCCTGCACAACGTTATTGTGCATCATTATTAAGGCAAAAGAAAAGTGTCCAATAGCAGTATAACAATAATAATAATAGCAAACAAGGGAGATGAATGGAATATAGACAGACAGACAGACAGAAATAAAAATTTATTCATTATATACATTGTACATACATTGAATTAAATGTGGGTTTTCCTACCCTGAATGGAATATATGATATGTATGATACTATTAATATTATATGTAGAAAATTTGTCGGCAGCAGTTATAGCACAATTGGATTTGAAAGGATTCTTTATGCTAAGGAGCAGTAAATCAAATTATATTTTTTTATTTTAAATAAAATTTGTTCTGTATTAATAGATAAATTACTACAAAAATATGATTTGAAAAAAATCGTTTCTCGGTATCCAAAATGATCCTTTCGATCCAAAAACGTGATAAATAAAAAAGTGAATAAGCTCTTCATAAAACCAAGACCCCAATAAATATCTTTCTTTTAACTTTACTAAATTATTTATAAAAAGCTGGCTGTACCTGTTCACGCTTTGCCATATTTTAGTCTATATAACTATCTGTCTATCAGTTTACCTGGCAACCTGTTTGACAATTTACCAGTCCACTAATTTACCAGTCCACCAATTTACCAGTCCACCAATTTACCAGTCCACCAATTTACCAGTCCACCAATTTACCAGTCCACCAATTCACGAGTCCACTAATTTACCTATCCACCACTTTACCTGTTCAATCATTTACCTGTCTATCAATTTACCTCTCTACCAATTTACCTATCAGCCTGTGTATCAATCCACCATTTTACCGGCCTACCAATTTACCTGTCAACCCATTTCAAATGTCTTCCAATTAACCTATCAACTTGTTTATCTTTCTACATATTCGTCTATCTACCAAGTGTCATGTCTACCATTTTACATATCGTCCAATTTACCTTTCCACCAGTTTACCTATCAACCAATTGTCTTCCTGCTCATCTGTCTACGTATATATCTTGCTTGTTCAACTATTTATTTGTTTACCAGTTTACCTGTCTGTTAGTTTAGCTGTTAAATTAAAGTTAAATTATTTAAAAAAGATATAATTATTATAATAATTATTACAAAATAGTGATTTGTGGTAAAAGGTTAAACATTTGAGTTTCATATGCTTTTTATATGCGCATTATAAAAAATCAATAATAAAAATTGACCGAAAAAAAATTAAAAAAAAGTCAAAAAGTTTTCAGGGCACCCAACCCCTATCACTTGACTTAAATCAAAATATCCGAAAAACTGTCCGGGGATTTACCTAACAATTTTCCAAATTTTAACGGCGTAGTAGTTTTGTATAAATCAAAATTGACCAATAAATTTTAAAAAAGTCTTCGTGGCGGCTAACTCCTACCACTATTGGCTTCAATCAAAATATCTGAAAACCGTCTCGCAATTTACCTTACAATTTCCCAAATTTTTACGGCGATCGGACGTATGGTTTATGAATGCATAACAATTACACACACAGCCAGGTAGACTTACATCAATTTTTATATATAGATATGATATACCTATAGATTTGATAATTCTCTCACCTGAGCCTGGGCCTCTCTAGATTTCTTCCTCAATATGGATCCCACATAGCTTCCAATAATAACAGCTGTCGGAATGCAAACGAAGGCTATACTTGATAATGCCGGAGAAATAATATAAAGTGATGTTGAACCACCAATTAATTGAGCAATTGCTCTCAGTCCCTGAGATATCGTTTGTTTGAAAGATGATTTGAAGTCTTGTACATCAGTCGTTAATCTGAAATTAAAGACGTAGGGATAAATTATAGTAAGGGATTGACCTCAAATCACATGATATTTTTCCTATTTTTAACCCTCCTCTTCCCCTTGGTGATATTCAAAAGTACTTCCCCTTCCTCTTCAACTCACGTGTTTTTTTAGTAGTTATGTATGTACTTACAAAAATCGTATTTTTTGAAAATTTTGTTAAAAAGTAAATAAACACGTGATATTCTACCATACCCCCTACTTCTCATGTAATATTTCTGGAGAATGGCGAAGAATGAATGAGATAAAATCGGCAAATTAAAATATGGACATACTGAGAAAAAAATCAGAAAAACTAAACATACTGGTGGGAATATTATACTTCGTTCTCAAAATACAAATAAAAATGATAAACTGTATTTTTTAATATTATTCATTAACGATGTTTTGGTCCAATGCACGTATAATCTTCTGACCATGGTCAACAATTAGAAGATGACCAAATTTTTGGCCCAAAGATAACCCAATCATTTAACTATGAGAATGTTCTTAATATACTAGATGTCCTGAATATAGGGCGTGCAAATAACGTTTTCCTTTTAAAAATGAACTTATTTTGATTGGTATTATTGTATGCAAAATGTGTATTAATATTACTTCAAAAATTTACCTGTTGACCAGTTCTCCAGTTCTATGCTTATCAAAAAATTCAATATCCTGCTTCAACAACGATTTAAATAAATCATGTCGTATGCTTGTTGCTAATTTTTCACCGATTCCAGATAACAGATAAATGTACATAAACGTGAAGAATGACTGCATAAATTGGATATGGGCAGTTAGTATTATTAGAAATGTTGTTATTGTTTAATGCATTGTAAATAAAATTTATTTTTACCTGTGCTCCATACATTGATAAGAGATGCAAAGCCGGAGCTTTCATATCTTTGAAAAAACTTCCAGAAGCCATGTCTCCTGATCCTATTATAGCTATTTCATTAGAATGTTTTGATACAACATCAATAATTCCTCCTAAAAGCTGTGGTATTTGTATGTTCAAATATGCTACGACCAAGGCAGCCTAGAATTAAATGATTAATTTACTAAAGTAATATTTAGTTAAAACTTACTAAAAACTTTCTTTATGTGATTGATATATTAAAGAGGAACTGACTAGGATCAAAAGTAATTAAATCATGAAAATTTAAGTAGTTTATTCTTCCGATGGTCCTCACATTATTATGTGGTAAACATTATAAATAATTATACATTTAGTAAACATTATAATTACAGTTGTTGGATATAAATGTGGATGCTGCAAGTTATAGAGTTTTTATAAGAATGAATTAAACAATAAACAATATAAAGAATGATTTTTTAACTTTCCGTAGTGGTGCCATAGGGTAAGTTATTGTAATCGTCCAAAAATCGAAATTGAAATTTTTGCATATCTTCACGTAGAAAAAATTGATGTGTGTGTGTGTTTTGTGTGTCCACAATTTCGGCAGATACGATCAACCGATTTAAATCATTCAAAAAAAAATCGATTCCTATTGATACGAAGACGTGTGCTGATTAATTTTTGGTAAAGGCAAATCTAGCCGTTTTGGAGATACGGAACAAAGATTGTAGAAAATAGAGATCGAATTTTTGAGAGAACGGAGCACCCGGTTTGAATGACCCAAAAAACATTCAATTTTTAATGGTGTGGTGAAGTGGTGACTAGTTTTTGACAAAAAATGGTAGTTTTTGTTATTTCTTAAAAAAATATTTATGTATTTAGAGCGACTCGGGCACAATCGATTAATTATGGCCAAAATCCGAAGAAGAATGAAAATTTATTAACACGTTTGCGGTCAGTAAAGGATTCAGTAAGGTACAAAAATAGACAATTATTTTATTTTTAGATTGCTTATTATATCTGATTTTTAATTAAGCACTGTATATAAGGGTAGTCAACCTAGATTATATCAGAATTAAATATATTTATATTATATTCTTATTATATTCGTAGTTAGATAGTCATATTTTAATCGATATATACCCAAAATTTGGGAGTATTTTATTAATTTGTTCTTACGCCATTGACGAAAACTAGGGTTTGTCGGTTTTCAAAAACCGGTTTTAAAAACCGTTTTTTTGGCGAAAATAATGAAATTCGGAAACCGGTTTTTTAGTGAAAAAAGTCGTTTTTTTCATAAAAAAAAGAAAATGACAAATATAGCCAAATATAAAAGATAGATGAAAGCATTTTGATCCTTGAAATCATATCATTTCTATAGTATTTGGTATCTTATCGTTGCAATGGTTCCCAGGAAGGTTTTGTTCATATTAATTTAGATTTTTGTACCAGTGTATATATTAATTTAAATCAGTGTGACTTCTTCTTGAAGAAGTAACTTCCTCTACTCAAACTTAAAGAACATAGTTTTAAGCCCTAGAAGTAACAAATAAAAGAACAAAAAACTTAAAATTATTATATCAGACTTTAAAAACAAATAAGCATAATTCAATCGCAAATTTGAGAGTATTTTCTATTTCAGGAAATTTTGTCAGTAAACAAAGGACACGTCTATGTAGAAATTCGATAGACGTTCCCAGTTTTTTGAAATCGTATTTTATTAAACAAAAAAACAATTAAGATGTTTAAAATTAATTAAATAAAATTACTCTGAACAGACAATACGAGTTTAGCTTAATTGTTTTTATAACTAAAATTGATATTAAAAAGTATGTATCAAAATGTATCCAATATTTCTTTATTTAGTTCTATTAGTTCTACTAAATAAAATTTAATTAATTTGTTTACTATTTATAAAATTGAACAATAAATAAATTCAGTCAAATACATTACAGAATGTTCGAGAAAAAAATTATTTTCTATTTAAAATTCGAAAACCGGTTTTTTAGTAAAATTAAAATTCGAAAACCGGTTTCCTGAAATGTCGGTTTTTGTATAAACCCTAATGAAAACAAACGAAGAGAAAATATGAATACAAGCTAAAATACTCTTTTATCTATGAACATAAATAATCTTACAGAAAAATAATTGCAGCATTTTTTATGAAAATAACGTAGATATTTATAATGCCCATATAATAATTTATATATCATATTTAAACATGTTAATAATTTTGATAATATTATAAAATTCGTTAATTTATTTTTTAAATGTTAAAGTAAATATTAACCATTTTATTGTAGAAGTTAGTTTTTTCCATACTTACAATTATAGCACCTAATAAGTGTAAAAGATGAGGCTTAATATATTTCCAGAAGAGTTTCCAATCAAATTTGAGGATTTTATCTGCTTGAATTGTCCCATGTAATCGATTTTTACTAATTTTCTTCTCACATAAGACAATTTGCTGATTTCTTAAGGTATATAATCCAATGCCAAAAGATACCCCGAAAGTCGTCGATATAACGTTTATTAAACATTTTTTATCTTCAGGGGCTTTTGGTAAAACTGGTTTATTATGTAGACTGAACGATTTCTTGCCCACCGGAAATTTGGATAATAAAGATTTTCTGAAATTGAAATGAAATGAGAGATCTTATAAGTCCAGTTTTTCCTAAATACCTTGTCAATATTGGACATAAATAATATAAAGATCAAATTTTGATATAAAATGCAATGTTGAAATTATTTGATGCCATTGTGGTGGAATTTAGGCAACTGTAGGTGTAAGTTAATAAATTTTATACAACAGAAATTTAAATAAAACTTAAGGCTATTATATAAAATATTTGCAACATTTCTTCAAAAATAATTCAGATTCTATAAAATAAGAGACACCAAAAAATTTAAATCGAAGGATATGAAGTAAATGAAGTAAAAATAGAAAATACCATCAGCAATTAAAAATTGCAGATAAAAATTATCAGTTAAAAAAAATAAAATTATATCACAAAACTAAAGTTATTTTCAAAGTGCATTATACAAAAATATCATCATCAGAATTACCATTTTCTTTACATGTTCATCTCATTTTAAATTTCGCGCCTTTAATTTGAATGATTGCGCAAAACGTCAAAATTGTTCCGGCGTGTTTCTTCAAGTGTCAAATAATAATTTAAAATATAAATATTTATTATTAAATTTACCTACCTAAAAGGATTTGCACTGGAAGAACAATATTGTATTAATTTAAACATTTTGTTTGATATTCACAAGCTTTTCTGTCAAATTAGTTTCTCATTGACCACAAAACTAGAAATGGCGTAACTTAATTATTCACCATTTGTAATAAAACTAAACTTCATGCATAAACGTTTCCATTTTGTACTATTTGGTAACAGTATATTAAATATATTATAGTATTTGTAAAAAATACTTGAATAAAGAGATATGTTAGGTTATATCACTTTTGAAATGTACTTTGATTGCATGGGGTTGGTAAACCTTTAATAATTGAGTATGCATTTTAAATATAATGATATATTTTATCAAACATTTTGTTACATGAAAACTATTATTAAGAAACAATAGCTATAATCTTAATTACTATTTTTGTACAATATTTTTCCTGCTTTATATAAATAAATACATTTTATAATATTGTGCAATAGTTTATTTTTTCAAAATGATTGTCCTGGATTTCTCAATTTGACGTTACCAAAGTAAAAATAATCTGATCTTATCTTCAATCTTATGAATTATTTATTTATAATAACTAGTGGTGCATGGCACCGTGCCTTAAGGCAAATTGCTGGAACTTTCCGTGACACAATTAAATATTTGAGAAAAAAAATTAGTAATCAGTAAATATTGATATTATTAATAACAATTGTTTTAAACATTTTCGAATTGAAAATTATAATCAATCCGTATATATTTCATCGTTCACAGAATATACAGTAACGATCTTATCGCTCAAAACACTTGAAAAAGTTTGCATTAGCAAGAGGTGCCGAATAAATCCATCTGAGAATATATTTCTTACGATTAGAATAACGTGTTTGAAATATATTCATTTTAAAACTGAATTATAAATTTAAAATTCATATTTCAAGTATGAAACTTTGTATATTTCTCAATTTTTTTTTCTGAAAATTTTGAAATTAGCTTGAACAGTATAAGTAAACTTTAAAAATTAACAATCTTGGTACGGAACCCCAACAAATTTAGTTTCCATTTCTAAAATAAAAATATCTGATAATTTGATGCGCTAATGTCTAATGATCATTTTTGACCGCCAAATATAATTTTTTTTACTTTTTCCTCTGTATTTCCGAAACCGCTAGACCTGCCATACCAAAAATTTCATCATTTCTTCATTTCGTCAATACAAGTAAAATGTTTTTTGAGTCACTCAAATCGGATACTCCGTTCTCTCAAAAACCGTTTTTGGCACCCGTATCTTCAAAACGGCTGGACCTGTCTCCACCAAAAACTAATTAGCACGTCCTGTCATCAATAGAAATCGAATGTTTTTTTAATCATTCGGTTGGTTCGTGCGTCCGAAATCGTGGACAAAAAATTGTATCCAAACATCATCAATTTTTCTTAAGGTATGCCAAAATGTTCAGAAACCTTCAAATCGTGCAGATATGCAAAAAAATTCATTTTTGATTTTTTGCGATTACTATAACTTACCCATTATACATGTTTATCTATTAACTTACCCTGCAGGAAGTTAAATATATACAAAAGTTTAAAGGCACTATCGTAAATTAAAAACAAACTTAAATGAGAATATTTTGAGCGTATTTAAATTTATTGCATTGTACCTTAAATAATCATTGAAAAATACCAATATGTAAATAATTTTAATAATGTAGTCTTGTGAAATAACGAAAAATGTCAATTTGTATAAATGTTGACAACCCCTGGTAGAATTTTTCACTTTGTAATGTTTTCGGCAATGTTTGTTATGACTGTTCTCTAAGTTAGGTTAAAAATGCACGAGTTCCTTGTAATGGGTTTTTAATCATTATTGCTTTTATTAAATAATATTATTATTTATCATAAATAACATGTGAAAAAATATTAAAATTAAATTGCATTTATTATTGTAAATAATTAGTACGAAATAATATTAATTCAGCTTAAACTATTGATGAAATTGTATTCCTTTTAAGTATTGTTTTTTAATTATTTGGTTCATAATGTCTCAAAATGTATGCATAAAATTAGCTTCTGAACGTGTGGATACAGCAATTGATAATAGTACATTTAATGTACGTCTATATACACCTGGGGAAATAATTGTTCAACAAGGAGGTTATATGCGGTAATATTATTTTAAGTAATATGTTTAATAATAATACAAATGGTTGCACTTAAAAAAATGCAAGGACTAATTAGATGATGTATTTTGAGCCAAACTATAATTTTACTTGTGTTTGCGTTGTTTACTCTTATTTTTCTTTGCAAAGATTCTGCCTTCATCATAAGCTTATAAAACTTGATAATATTAGTAGCAACTATTCTATTAAAATGCAAGTTGTGCAAAATTAATTTAGTGGACTGTAAGTTAGAATTATTCTGTCATCATTAGAAAGTGAAGAAAAGCAACTATTTACTTTGCGATATATATTGATTTTGTATCTTCTCTCATTCCTTTTACTAGACACTCTAAGGTATAATAATACACAGGTATTTGTATTTACAAACATTTATACCCCTACCCCGAAGGGTTTTAAGTGAAGTAAATAGTTTGTTTCGTTTTCCGCGATAGACAGCTTTAGTTACAAATAATTCAGAAAGTGCAGATTACAGAGGCACCAGTGATTGCTCGTTAGAAAGTTGACTCTTTGAGAAATATTTTGATGGTATGATCAAAGAAATTGGTCAACTGGTTGAAAAGTTATTTGTGCTTGAAAATTAACAAAACTAATGAAAAAAATCGCTATATTTTGCAATATTATTATGATGGAGGGAAAAACACTGTGCAGACTTGTGAAAAAAATTATGCTGTATAAGGTATTCGTTCAAAATCTGCTGATGGCAGATGGTTCGATCTCTTTCGTTCTTGTAATTTTGATGTGAAAGATGTGCCACAAACCGCTCGTCAAATCACTGAAAAATTTGATGGAATTATTAAAAAGGTAGAGGAAGATAAGTAAATCAGCTCTGTCGACATTAGGAGAAAACTAGTCATTGATAGGAATAAATGTCAAAACATTGTCGATATTAATGAAGCATTTGAATTTGAAGCATTTGAGTTTGAATAAATTTATTTGCACCCTATAAAAAAAACTGGACGAGTTTCACTAAATAAACAAAACAAACTTTTTACTTGACCCAATACAAAAAACCCTGGTCAAATCTTGACCAATTTCCTTAAATGAATTATGTAAAATAAAAAAATAAAAAAACTTGTTCTTCTATTTTGCTCAGTTTCTCATTATTGCTTTAATTTGATTAATTATATGCACCTTTAATTATTCTATTTAAATGTGAAGTGTTGGCAAACTAACTCTTCCCAAAAGTTAACTCTTCTTAATCATTAGTTAATAACAAGCATTATTTAGTTAGTGCTTTTAAGAACCTCATTAAAAGTTAAAAAACATTCCTAATAAGTACTTATAAGATTATATTATACTTATGAATTTCTTCATTATTCAAAAGCACTTTATTTCCATTTACTCATGTATCTTCTTACATTTGTAGCTTGTTCTTTGCATCTTTGCATATAAATTATCATTCTTCTTCATATAATTCAATCAATTAATTTAGTGGCCATGGAACATACACTGAAGATGATTACTTAAAAGCCTCAGTTGCTGGAGTTGTAGAACAAGTTAATAAATTGATATCCGTGAAACCTCTGAAAAGCAGATATGTCGGTGAAATTGGTGATGTTATAGTTGGACGTATCACAGAAGTTCAACAAAAAAGATGGAAAGTAGATACAAACTCCAGACTTGACTCTGTTTTACTATTGTCATCGGTTAACTTGCCAGGAGGAGAGCTGGTTAGTATAACATGTGTAACATTTAACAAACAGTATAGTTAAATATAATTGCATTTGTATAAATAAACTTAAGATTTTATCAAAAGTTTATGTAAATATTTTTTGGTTTATTTTAGCGTAGACGTTCTGTTGAAGATGAACAAGCTATGAGACGTTATTTGCAAGAGGGTGATCTTATCAGTGCAGAAGTACAAAATGTTTATGGTGATGGTTCGCTATCACTGCACACAAGAAGTTTAAAATATGGAAAGGTATTGCAGCAATTAGTTTTATTTATTAGATTAATACATCAGAATTTGGATGATATACCATAATATGTTTCTAATATCATTGTGCTTAATAAGAGGCATTTTAAGAGCTTTATTATATTGATAATGGATAAAAAATGGTTTTTAACATTATCATTCATTCAAAATTGATTTTGTCTCATGCATTTGTGGCAGTGATTGAAATGCATTGTCAATTCATAATTTATGATTTTACTTATGATGTTTAATTTATTTCTCAGTTATCTCAAGGAATTATGGTTAAAGTTTTTCCATCTCTAGTGAAACGGCGAAAGAATCATTTTCACAATTTACCCTGTGGTGCTTCTGTTATCCTCGGAAACAATGGATTTATATGGATATGTCCAACAATCAATCAAGATGTTGGTGGTGCTGGTGGTTTTACACAAAATTTAGAGGAGGTATAATAGATACTTTGACTTATCTATTTTATTCATTATAAAATCATAGTACGAAGCCCTGCATCAGATTTAAAAAATTATAAATCAAGTGCCTCTTCAACTAGTCATATGTCATGAAAATCTAAAATTCTTATCTCTAATGGTTTTATCTTAAGTGTAACTTTGTTGGTTTTCAACTAAGTTTGTTAGTTCGAATTATTCAACATGCATTTGTCATTTTAGGTGGTTCCAAGAGATGACAGAGAAATGATTGCCCGAATTAGAAATGTTATTTTAGCTTTGGCGCATTTCAAGCTTCAGTTGTGTGATACTAGTATAACCTATGCAGTGGAAGAATCTATATCTGCAAATTATACTCCTAGAGATTTAATCACACCGGAATATATGTTAGATGTTGTGATAAGAACTAAACACAGATTACAAGAATTAAATGAGTGAATATATTTTTCAGAACTGAATTCGTTTTATTTTAATTTCATTCAAGTTTAAAATAGCTTGGGATGTACTAAATGTCTTGTAAAAACGTAATTCTTCCAGAACTGAACTTTTGTCCAGAATACCTGATACAATTTAGTGATATCACAATATGACAATTTAATAAATGTGGTCGTTGTTACTACTTATTATGGGAAGCTGGGGAAAAAGACTGGTATTGAATAATTTGATTTCATAACAGAATTGAAATTTAATTAGGTTATTCAATTACATAACGGTATTAAATTATGTAATCAATGCATTTTATTTAATATATTTAATATTGGTGTTTATTTTATATATTTATAAATATATCATTAATGGTATAATGATAGTACGTTAAATATACATTTAAATATAAATATGAATCAGTTGCTGCCATAAATTTCATCAAAATCTGCTGAAAACTGGAAGCTAGAATGCCCTTGCTCTATTTGATATTATTATAAATATATATGAAAAGCACTGATGATCTGATCTATTCATCTGATCACTGATAATATGATCTAAATGTAGTAAATTCACTACAAGACTGTAGTAGATAAACTACAGTAATTTTAAATATACTGCTACGAGTATAGTAAACCAATGGTACATTGCATCTTAAAGCAAATTGCAGGAAGTTCCTGTACTGTAATTTACACATTTCATAGAACTTATAAATTTGATGACGACGTTTATATATATCTACATGAAAAGTAAATGAGAAGGACTTTATCTCATTACTTAGAATTATAAAAACTGAATTCCTAAGTTAAAATCATTTATTTCAAGTAAGTAAGTATATAAGTCAGCTTCAGAATCTCAGCTTTGATTTGATAGAAATATAAAAAAAGTTTGAATTTTTGATATCAAAATATATTTTTTTTGCCTTCTCCTAAAAACTAATTATTATTACACACTGTTAACACAAGAAAAATGTTTTTTGAATCATTCTTCCGTTCTCTCAATAACTGTTATTATTATTTGCTTGTTTTGCTCCATATCTCCAAAACGGCTCTAGCTGCCTTTGCAAAAATAAAAACCAGCAAATCTCCCCGTCAATAAGAATCGAACGTTTTATGAATCATTCTCATTGGTTGCTCTAAAACTGATATTTTAAGATCTTTTTGCTCTATTTTTTGCTATCAGCACGTCTTCCAATCGGTTGATCCGTGCTCCCGAAATCGTTGAAAAATTATATTCATACATACATACACACCCACCCTTTTTTTCTAAGGTTTGGCAAAATGTTTGGAAAGCAAATCATTTTCGATTTTCGAACAATTAACTAAATTATGGCTAATTAAACTAAAGTATTTTGGATAAATTTTAATAATACAAATTATTCACTAATAAAACTACCCAGTAAACCACAAACGTAACATAAAGTTAAAGTAACGTAGCACAGAAGAAACGTTGTTATGTATTTTATGGTTACGTTAATAAAACGTAAATGTTACGTTTAATTGTAACCTTTAAACGTTAATGCATGGTTTTCTTCATAACGTAACCGTTCAGTTACAGTGTATTGTAAGTTTAACATACAAAATGGACGGTGTGGTACAGCTGTTTCACAAAACTGTCAAAAAGATAGGTTACGTGTTCTACTCTTTTATGTATGCGAGACTCTATGCACGAAAATACAATTGAAAGTTATTCGTGACTCTATATATTTTACTTTTCTGTCTATGACTAATGGCTCTAATGGACGCTTCATATTGAAGATCTTTTGACAAGCAAATTATTTCATTCTTTTGAAGCATTTATTTAATCATTATTTATATGATTAATATTTTATATGATTAATGTAGAACGTATTAGTTATGCAGTGTGCAGTTAAAATGTTTAAAATGGAATCGATCAAGGTAAGTATAAATATAAAACATGTGTAAATTATTTTAATTTATATATTATTATAATAATGATTTTTTTTTTCAGTATATAGTTGGACCTTAATGGAAATTCTATTCGCGTATTTTGTTATTTGTAGATGTTTTCATCAAATGTATGTTTATCAAATAATAATTAAATTCTACAAAAAATCATAACCTCAATGATTATTGCAATGTTGAGTCAAAAGGTTAGTAAAAATGAGATATACAAATACAAATTTAATATTTGTAGCCCCTTCAGTAACAATAATATAGTTCGGCTAAACAGGAATAAAAAACTAATACAATGGTTTTCAATTGAAGAAATATAATGACTCAGAACATAATAAAGATATTTGCTCAAATAAAGAATATGAATGCAAAGTTAGAATATAAAATAATAATCCACCATCATCACGAAAAAATGATTTGAAGAAGAATAAAATTTTTACAGCATTAAATGATGACACTCGTGTCATGTGTCATGGAATTGGTATACCCCATTATGATAGTTAGAGATGATTAGATGATTTAGTATTAATTTTTTATGATTTAGTTTTAGCAAAAATATGATTTAAAAGTCGGTGGATGAAATTTGGCTGAACTGACAAGAAACAATTAAGACAATATTTGAGCAATACGTTCATAAAGGAATTAGCTGCACTTTGTTCTTAATAAATAATGAAAGTAAATAGAGGTAATTAGAAGTATTGTTACAATTTATAATAATAATCACAATATTTCCAAATCATAACCTTCTATTGTTTTTACTTCAGCAAAAATATATTTAAAAATTCAGAGACTAAAATCTTCTTTATTGTCTAAAGTGTAATTCGATGAAGAATTAATATGTTTTTGGTATTGTTGAAAGGACTGCCTAGCTGTCAATAACTTGAAAATAATGAATATTTTTAGAGGTAATGTTACAAAAAATTTAAATCAATATTATCAATAAACAATTTGTAGAAATTGTTTCTAACCTGTTTGGTTCTGTTTTAGATACATTTACAAACAGAAAGCAGTGAAATGGTTTCAATTTGATAAACAAAGGTTGCCAAGAATTTTACACAAGACTTATTTCAATGGTTAAAATTTTATAATCAAAATAAAACATTTAATTCCATCCTGTTAAATAGAAATTTGTTAGAATTGTTATTTTTTGTTTTAGATTAATCAAATTTTTAAAATCCAAATTTATATTCTGTAGTTTTGTAATTTTAAGTATATGTTATGTAAATTTTGTAAATTCTTAATTATAATATGAAATAAAATTAATATAAAAAATGGTTTCTATATTTACAGGAAATTTATTAAATTTTTAAGTTACATCAAAGACACCTACACGTTAATTTAGTAATTTAGAAACCTAACAAAAACGAAACCGTTACGTTTTCGCGCAATTTGGAAACGTTACATAAACGAAACCGTTATGTTTTCGCGTAACTAAACAGGCCGTTACGTTTTTGAGGCGGAAATAGATACGTCTGTGTGCCTCTTAGGTTACGTAACCGTTATATTTTACGTATAATCTGTTACGTTCTATTAACGTTTTCATTACGTTTTGTGGTTTACTGGGTAAACTATTCACCTGATCTGATCACTTAGAAATTCCACATTTACTTAGTTCAGGCAGTAATCAAAGCTTCTGTGATCTATTATTTGCCTGTTAATAATTTAACAGCGACATAAAGTTTCTTATCACATTAATTAATTAACAATTATTAAGATAAATTTTATCTAACGATGATCTAACGTATATGATTATGATTTCACATATTTTTGCTTGTGGATACTCAGCTACTTCTTTTTGCATGGTTACAAACATCTGTGAAATTAGCCACATTAGTTTTTTGACAACTAGCACATGTTTGTGTTTTGATTTAACCAAACACAAATAAGCATTTGAAATCAAAGTTACAAAATAATAGAGAATGACAATAACATTAAAGATAAAACGATTCAAAAATGAATTATGTGAAAAGCGTATTCAACAAAAAGTTCTCTTTTCAAAAATCTTCTACGTGGGTTGTACCTGAAAATGAACATATTTTAACTACCCCTGAATTTTTATGCTTTGAATTGTTACAATTAAAAGAACATTTGAATTCTGTGAAAAGTAAATTAAACGTTTATCCTATTGAAGAATGGAGTATGCACACGAAAAAACGGAACCCAGCTGGGGAGGTATAATTATTATGAATTTATTTTATTTCATTAATTTAAGTTTTGATATATATGGTTACTTATTTTATTTCATAACTAATATTATTTGTTCACTTGCTTATTGACATTCATTAAATGTAGTAATTAGTACTCAGCTAAATCCCATGAAAATAGTTTTATATGCAGAAATTGTTAATGCCTTCTTCTTTACAGTCGATTTATTCTTTTTGACAAAGTATATTTGTTTTTATTTGAAATATTTTACCCTATTTAAAATATTACTTATTCTTTTCTAATACAATTTTTAAATGTCCTTTATATTGTAGATACAATGGAAATTAAGGAACACCTACAACGCAGAGTTTGTCACTCAAGCTTGGTGCAAGATGTTCGAGTGTTTATGTTCTTATGACCTGGTATCATTATCGCCTGGCGATAAAGAATTTAATAGCTTGCATTTATGTGAAGCTCCAGGGGCTTTTATAGCTGCTTTAAATCATTTTTTAAGAACTAGACATAAAGATGTTCGGGTAAGAAAGAAGAATTATTTATAGCTTAAGAAAGTTTTTCAAATTATAAATTTTTAGTAACGATGATATAAGTAATCATACGGTAATGCTGAGTTTTATTAATTGTTTTTATTTTTTATGCTCCTACTGGAAAGATGTATTTGTAAAATTGTGTTTATTCTAACAATGAGTGCTCATAGTGCCAGAGTACTATTTCTAAATTATTCTCAAAATCTTTTTAGTAGTTACATGTATCAGTAACAGTTATGTTACTTCTTTATTTACATTGTGTATCAATAGAGTTTAGTTTATTAACAAACATTTATGTTTAAATATATTTCCCAATTTTCTACAGTATTAGAATACAATTATTGATAACAGATTTTATTTTAATACATAACTATCTTTCTAACTATTCGAATGCACAATATAAGTTTTTTAAAATATGCTAATCCAAACAATTAAAAGAATGACTATTATTTCCAGTTCAATTGGATTGCAACTACTTTAAATCCATATTATGAAGGCAACCAAGTCTCTAACATGATTTTGGATGACCGGCTCATGCTGCATACATTGGACCATTGGCATTTCGGACATGATTTTACTGGAAATATAATGGACATGAAGAATATAGAAAGTTTGAGAACTGAATGTGAAAAAATTAAGCCGGTTAGTTTAATTTAAATATATAATATTTTTTATATTAAGTATATTAAGAAATAACATAGTTAAAATGATTTGAGTTTTAGAAATGGTTCTGCCAATTTTACTGCATTTATAAGATTTGCAGTCCAGTAATCTCTGAAAAAACATATAAATATAATTTTTTAAATTCTCAAAGGAGAAGTTCATGTTCTCGCCAGAAAATTACTTCTTAATTTTGTTTTCTCAACGTTACAAGTCATTCTGAGTCATTCTGAATTGTTTGACGTCAAACTTGGGTAACATGTGTTTGTGGAAATTAGTTTTTGGTAAAGATCAGTCATAATTAATTGTTGAATTTTTTTTTTTTGTCTATTTTTATAAAATCTTGTATTGCGATATAGATCATGATCTTATAGGACATACTAAAATATTGAAGGCCTACAATAAGTAGCTCAATCATAAAAATTAATTGTATACTGAAATAATGTACTGCGCTTTCAGAAAATGCACAGTATATGTATATTTAATCCATTTGTCAATGAATGAATTGTGAATAGTATGCATTAGTTTCTTTCAATATAATACTCTACAACAAGGTGTAGAGTATATTTATAAATCAGCCATAAATTAATATACTGATTTTTTATTGATTGCCTTAAGGTAAAATGCCACTTACATCTAGTTTCAATATTATTCAAATTTGAATTTGGACAATTTACCAGATTGTTTTCACATAGATTGTCGATGATGCTTTTAAATAAAATATATTATAATTTAGGTTGTCCTAATTACTGCTGATGGTTCCATAGACTGTTTTCGCACACCAGAAGAACAAGAAAATAAAGTAGCACAACTGCACATTTATGAAGTGTTGACTGCATTATTAATTTTGCATTGTGGGGGTTCATTTATGCTGAAAATGTTCACATTTTTCGAATGTTCAAGTATAAATATATTATATTTATTAAACTTATGCTTTGCATCAGTAAGTGTTTTTAAGCCGGCCACATCTAAAGGTGGTAACTCAGAAGTATACGTCATTTGTATGGGTTATAATCGAAGTAACAAATTTTTAGATCTTGTTTATTTACTACTAAACAAGCTTGAAAATAAAGTGCTTTTTGAAAAATCAATATTCAGAAGACAAGATGTACCAGATGACTTTTTAGAGCAAGTGTATAATTGTGCTCGGTATTTCATGCATATCCAATGTTCGGTTATTGAAAATAATATTTCAACCTTTCACAAGCCAGTCGCTTATCATCTCGTGCAAAAATATAAAAGTTCAGTTACACAACATTTTTTAAAAGAATACCAAGTCGAAGTTATAGAAGAAAATTTGAAATTAGTATGTGGTGTTATACAATATAATTCACTTAACTTAAATCCTCGTCTGCATACCGGAAACTATGATGAGCGCACCAGATTATTAAAAGATGAAGAAAAACTTAAATTTCTTCAAGAACGTTGTAATCATTTTCAGATATATCATTGGACAGAAAAAGATGGTTTTAAGATTTTAAATATTTGTACAAAATTGAATGATTTTGAATTATTATTTAAGTTTGGTAAACCTGTTAGTATTTTAGGAAGCTCCAAATTTATATTTGCCCCTCTTTTAGATATGCATAAAGAGTGTTTAAGAATATGTAATAATAATGCTTTACAAAAATCAAATGAAATAGCATGGCTTAATATACATGACTTTTTAAAAGGTGAAAAATTTATTTGGACTGTGAATGATAAAATAGATTTTTATATGAATTATGATGAATATGAGAAAAAAACATTCACAAAATTTTTACAATTCCAATTACAACCTGGTCAAAATATTGCAGTTTGGAATTTTCCGACATATACTTTATTTTCTGTTGGAGTTTTGTATTTATTAGCTAATTTTTATTTTGAAAGAATTGTATTTGTTAAATATAACTGTATATTATTTTTAAATTTTAGAAGCTGTATGGAACCTTATTTAAAAGTAATATTAGATTGTATAAATAAAAGAAAAGATGACAAAAGTATTTTATCTGTAGTACCAATAAGTAATATTTGTAGCGGACAGTTTTATAGTGATGTTTTAATGTTCAATAATGCGAACTTGATGTACGAAAGTCACATACTTTTATACAATTAAATTATATAAATATTTTTTATAAATTTTGAAACTGAATGTGTTATTAATTCAGTATACCTATAAAACAAACTATTGATGGATAAGATTAATAAATTTATGATCATTGTTTTAGGTGAAATATTTTTGCATTTACTAACTTATTTATGAACAGTATAAAGATAAGAGATGTAAATTTTTTGCCCTTTTTCATATAAGTGTTATTATATAAGTGATTCTCTTTCTGTACTTAATATATAATGAAATCTTGTGACACTAATAATCAATATTGATTGTAATACTAAATAGCATATATTATTTATATTTTAAGTCCAAGAAAGTTATTGTTAATAGCTGTAAGTATTTGGTGCAATCACTTTTGGTTAGGGAATGTAAGAAAACATTTGCAATAAAAACAACATTTAATCACATCCATTAAAACAGAAATTCATATGGTGAATACAGATGATAAAAAGTGTATTGATGTTTCAAATGTAAATGATTAATTATAAAATAATATGAAAAGAATAATTAACTCAAATGCCTTAAAATAATTTTAATTCACATTTTTTGGGAAGAAATATATTTGGCGCAGACTTTCTACAATGAAATGAAACAATGTTCGAATTAATAATTTCAAG